ATCCAACAGTACTTGTTTAATATTATCACAAACTTGGAATGGACTTTGAAATTGGTGTTCAAACCTAAGCATCTATTCAAACTACTTTGTCCATATGGAAACAGCTTTTTTTTTTTTTTTTGTGTTTCTTTTTGGTTTTGATAAAGGTGATAATTAGTAGGTTAGTATTTTCAGATGTTAGCAATTGTGAATTCGATTCCCAGATCTGGTAAACAGCCCACCAACCTCAATGAGACGCGCAGCCATCGAGCCGCTTGGTGGAGTTCCATACGAAAACAGTTAAACAATAGTAAACTGTAGTAATTTGTACTTAGTTTCCCATAAAATAATTGTTGTTTTTTAATTTGAGTTTTTTTTTAATTTTTTAAGATAAATAAATATTTTTTTAATTTAATTTTTTTATTATTTATTTATTTTAATTAATTATTTTATCACTAAAACTCTGAGTTTATCTTTTATTTTTTTTATTTTTTTTAATACTAATATAAGTAAATACTACATAATTATTTCTAAATTTTTAATTTATGTAGAAAGTTAAAAAGAAGATAATTTATTTTAAAATGGATAGAGTAGCTATTAAAAATGTTTAATCTAAAATAAATAAAATTAATGACCATTTCTATTTTTTATATAGAGTAGAAATCTATTTATAAATCTTGTAAATAAATCTGCCCTGTTGGTGCCACAAAACGTCGTGTCCGTAAATATGGACCTCAATAAAAGAGATACTGTTTGGCCCAAGTGAAGGACATACTAGTCGGGCCGAGTAGAAGAAACTGAATTGGGTTTAACCAACATTATGTTCACGAGAAGAATAGACGCTTCGGACCGAAAAGGGCCGACTGGGCAGAGTCTAAAATTTCAAAACCAAATAAAATAAAAATTATCGAAAATGAAGAAAATATATATAGCAAAATTCTAATTACCCTTCATTTCACCTTAAATTTACAAGATTTACGCTTGTCTTTTTCTTTCTTATCTCTCTTCACTTCACATCCACATTCCCAAATTTTTAATTTCACATAGCAATCAACAAATTCAAACTAAATTTGAAATGAAAAAAATATTTGTCAATCTTATTTTTTAAAAATTAAGAAAAAATTTATTTTAAAATTACGTCATTCCAATAATTTTTTATTAAAAAAAAACTCAACTATTATATTTTTAAAACTTATTTTAAGATAACTTTTATCTTTTTTTTTTTTTTTAAATATTTGAAAAGTAACCGGACAAACACTATCTCCATTTAAAATTTACAAACGCAAATCACGGACAACCGATGATAATTACATACACCCATGATACATAAACATAATCCCTGAGCCAAAGATCTCATCCCTACACCATCCCTCCAACCCAAAATTTGTCATCTTCAATTCTTCTTATCATTAAAATAAAAGGCAAGCTTTTCTTCATCTCATGTGACTCATGCATTAAATTGATTGAATGTCTAGATGACCAAGAAAATTTAAAAAGCGATTGGATCTCAGTCCTTCGATT